TGAACAATTTTTAATATTTAATATTTTTGTATTAGTAACATGTTTTATAATTTGTATTCGTATTTAAGTCACGATCTCCCTAAATCACATTATTAAAGAAGGGAGCTCAACTGCGTGGTGGAGAGGGAAAGCTTCTCTGTAAGTGTATTTTATACACTTATTCGAACTCTAAAATATTGACATTTCGTAATTCTTTTAATGTAATTATAGCATAATTTATTGTATAATATGTTTTTAGGCGAAACTCAATGAATGGAAGTGAAATTAAAAGAAAGAAGCGAAAAATAGCAAGATCCAACATTTGGGGACTACAGTACAAATACTCAAAAGCTATATCAGAGCTCACGATGAAGATTCAAGAATGTTAGGGGTTAATTGAATACAACTAAAAGTCAAAAGAAGTGAAAATATGGTCAAAATATTTTCACAAATCAATGTTCAACTGCAAAAGAATGTTCAGATTTTTAGTTAGAGTTTGAGAACCATTTTTGGCCTGGTAAACATTCGAATTGAAAAAGAGATATTTCTATCAAAGTTGTAGCCATTTGAGTTATATTTTCATCGCTTTAGTCAGATATCGGAAGAAAATGTTGTGATAAAAATATTGAAAAAGACACAAAGTTTGGAACGGCGAGTCAGCACCCAAGCACTAACGACCTAGCGCCAGGCGTTGTGTTTACTCAAAAGAAACCAATGTTTACAAAGATGTAGCGCCTTAGCGCTACACTCATAGCGCTTAGGTGCTACCTGGATCTACATCGCAGCGCCTAGGCGCTATGTTGTAAAACAATCAAGATACATCGTAGATGCTGAATTCTCATTCAAAACATCCTGAAAAATAGTATTTGATAGATGAAGATGAATGTGAGAAACTGTTTTCTTATCCTTTCGTAATTTCTCATCCACGATTAAAGTTGCGGGCATCTTGTCAATTCCCAGCAACGCATCATCCAAATCCAATTGTACGAGTACTGTACTCATCTTAACCTGCCATAGTGAAAATCTAGTGCACCGATCCAAAAGCGGAATGTCATACTTCATGGAAGCCATCACGAATGGAAACTTCGAACAAATCAAACATTGCGCTCTAACGGAACTGCTAAACGTGGCTCTCCGATACCACTTGTTATAAAACAACCAAAATACCAGAATTGCTTTGATACTAATTGTTGTGAACAAACCACCAGATTGAGATGTTAAAGCTATATGGCAAATAATAATGAAGTATATGATCAAGCAAAAAAATAATAAAGACAAGAATATGGAAGACAAATTAAGAGATTTTATTGACTCAATAATAATGGAGAAGAGAAAAAATTACAATGGATCCTATAATTCTAATAATCTATTTTCTCACACTTATAAAATTGTATAGAAATGCCTAATATTTATAGAAAACATGTAAGGGACGTCCAAACCTTCTTGATAGAGTTGTTGATGAATTAGGATGCCAAAAAATTGAATCCAAAACGAAGTAGGATAGAAAACAACGAAAAATCCGAACAACATAGGTAGAGCCACGGCGCCCACCTTTGGGCCCCTCGGCGCTGGGTAATCTGCCGAATTTTTTTTTAAATTGTTTTCTCTATCCAAATTCTTCTTCAAGTTCAATACCAGATTTCAACTCCCAATGGACTTCTAAAATAAAATTTCAACTTGACATAAGACTCCAATAGCATTCCAAACTGAATTCTCCTTAACGTGCACTTCAATTAGAATTCTTTAATATTTCAACAAAGAATTCGAATCACTCCCAAATTCTAACACGCTACCTCCTAGCGCTTAGGCGATGTGTCGCATATTTTAAGGTTGTGATGTTTTATGCCGTGAAAAGCACAGAAAAATTTCAAATTTGGAGAGAACATGTAGGGAAGTTTTAATAGAAGAAATGAGGCACTTTTATGGATTTCCAAACATTGAGAATACAAGGATACAACGAGAGATTGGATAACGCAATTCAAGGGAAAAAAAATCAAGAAACTCAAATTTTGAAGTATTGATTAAAAGAGGAAGAACATCTTGGTACAAACTTTATTTCTTTTTCTACATCTATGTCCAAAACCTGGTAATATATTCAATAACATCATCTTTTTTTTTTCTCCTTCCATCATTATGAGTAGCTAAACTTTATATTATGGCAAACCATGTAATCTACTTGAAACATTTATGTCTTTTATTCAAGATTCATGTTATTTAATTCATATATGTGTTTATTTTTTTATGCATTTAATTTATTAAATTACTTGATCACTAATTTAATGATTTTGTGAATCTTTTACAAATCGAGAAGTAAATTTGAGATTTAGACCATATAATAAAATTCAATAAATTAGTATAGCGTGTAGAGATACATATACTAATTATTGCGGTCAGAATATGAATTCTTAGAACTAGTGTTTCGTTTAACTAATGTCGATTTACATAGAAATATAGAATTGAATTAGTTAAATATGTTTAATGAGAACTCGAAATGGGTAAATTGAATACAATAAAAGAATTTGATTGAATACTATAATACGTTATGAATCTTGAATTAAGAATTAAATGTGATTAGTAGATGAAATTGTTAGGCCCTGATATTTTTCCATATTTGAATCTTCAATTGGCTATTGTGTGCAAAATTTTGATATTTTCAAGTAGTTAGAAATAGTTAGAAAAATAACCATAACAATCACTAATATTTATTATTTGTTTTCAATCAAATTAAAGTTAGGAATAATTGAATCAATTGTTAAATAGAAGTCATCGTGGGAACAATATCCGGACTCATTGGTCCAATATATTACTTGTTACAATCTGTACACTTGCGAGATATAAAAATCGACAACACTTCTTTACTCCTCTCTCCTCAAACCACTAGCCAATTAATCCCTCGTGCATTCCTATTTAGTGTGTGTTTTTCCCATAACATTCTAGATTTTCTAGAATAAAGAAATTCTCATCCCAAATTTATTTTCTTGATTGCGTCTGCTCGTTAAACATATCAATAGAAAGTCAAGCAATATCAATTTGAACGTGGCAAAGGAGATTGCAATTGACATCATTAAGTTGATCAAGTTTACAAGAAGTCCATATATATAATTGACCTAACTCGTTCCAAGAATTGAAACGGGCATGTGAAGCAATCAATGGCAGTAAAAAATACTACCGAGCTAGGAAAACTAGCTCTTGCCATGAAGCCCGAAAGGTAAATGCTCACAGTAACACATTGCAATAAGCAGTGGTCGGGTGGCTTCAATGTTTAATAGACCAAGCACTTCACCTCCGATTATAAAACTTCAAGTCAGTAATTGCCTCTAAGTCCAGTGATTGTTTCCCAGGCCTCAGTTGGGCTTAATCTTGGCATTGCTCAACATCATACTTTGTGGGTTCAAGTACTCATCCATGTCCACCTCTCTCCTCTTTCTAGTGGACAAACAATCAACATTTGCTCATGTGTCAGGGAATGTTTGGCTTATGCACTTCCAGAAAATTATTCAAACAAATCAATCAACAACATTTTAGACTTAAAAACAGAAAGTCATTTCAAAAAAGTTGCCAAATGGTTTCAATACACATATCTTTGTAGTGGACAAGATTCAACACTTGCTTGCAGGGCCCATTTGGCAGAGCTAGGGTTGTTTCAATAAGTGTTCTAGTACTTGTTAATGCATTTATCATGTTCTCATATTTCATCGAGAGATAGAAATGTCACATAAGGGGAATAGATTTGATCGCTATCAATAGAGATTTTTAATTATATTAGGAACATTGACAAATATGATGATTTCAAACGTCACTTTAATTGTTACATTAAAAATGTAATAATAAGGGGGATTCGACATCTTAATAATACATCTCACATAATTGAAAAATACATTTACTTACTTTCATTAGTTTAATTGATAATTTAGGCATTATTATAAAAAAAAAATCACAAAATTTGTTTTCTATTCGATTAAAGTTGCAATTAATTTTAACTCGATCAAACACGTAGTCCTCGTGGGTTCAACACTCTATTCACTACTTTATTACTTGTTCACGATCTCATTTACTTGCAAAAAATCAAACGTTTTATGCTAATTATTACGGTCATTACATGGATTCTTAGAATAATAATTGTTACGTAGAAATGTTGAATTAATTAAATAGGCTTAATAAGAACTCAAGATGAGTAAATTGAATACATTAGAAGAATTCGATTCAACACTAAATTAAGCCCATGTTTAGCCTCCATTAAATTTTAATTCATTTTGCCATCTCCGCTTATCAACCATACATTCTCTCAATAAAATAATATTATAAATAAACCCAAAAATTCTCCTTACTTTTTAGCTATACATTTTTCAAAAAATACTATTTAAAACTCAATTTTTTTTTTTCAAATAATGGAGCTCAAAGGAGGGCTAGGTTATAAATCTTGATTTATGAATTAAATGTAATCAATATATGAAATTGTAAGCCCTCGTATCCTTTCCATATTTGAAAAATCAATTCGATATTTGTGTGCAAATTTGATACTTTCTATTAGGTAGATAAAAAATAACCAAATCACAATTCTTGGTTTTATTTATCAAAATACGAGTTAGAAATAGTAAATTAACTATTAAAGTATAGTCATCGTGGAAACAATCATCCGAACTCAAAGTTCCATTATATTACTTGTTACGATATCGTACGCGATATAAAAAAAGCAACAACACGCCATAGAAATTGAAGGTTAAGAAAACAAATGTCAAGTGCTCATTTATGCATAGAATTGAAAGCATTAAGTGCAAAATTCCGAACACTGCATAACTTTGCGCACACATAATATACAAGAAGTCATCCGTTGATACTTGAGACTAGTGAAAGAGTTTCATTTGAACAGACATTTCATTTCATGATTTAGAATTTCCCAAACTATATGTTAACCAACTACTCAAAGATCATATATTTGAGTTGCTACCAACCAAGGTGCCTAGACTGCAGATAATCCATGCGCATTTACCATATGAGCAAAGATTCACAACAAATGAAGACTACTCGTCTTCCACGACGACACTAATTTCACCTTTCTCGAGCAGGTCATAAAATTCCTTGTTTCGTCTCTGAACGTTCCAGTGGTGCATTTTCCAAAGGCCTCCAGCCGTGATGCCCAGACTTATCCCAATAAGGATCTCCTTCAGAATACTTGGACCCTTGTACACTACATGAGCAGCCGCCATGTCCCCTGGAAAAGACGAAAAAATCAAACGACCTCAATGTCTTTTGTTCATTATCGGTATTAAATAGTAATAGCTAAGTTTCCACAATTCCATGTGTACTGCAACTGTGCAACATAATACTTTAACAAGGATAGATAGCATGTTTGGCAAAGCTTAAAAATTACTTCAACATACTCTTTAAGTTACTGAGGGCTTGTTCTCTTTTATCATTTTCAAACCGTTTTCTATGATTTTTCAAAACAGTGAAAACGCGTTTTCTTTCCCATTTTCGAAAACGCGTTTTTGAAAACAAGTTAAAAATTTATAAAGAAAACCCAAAACAACAAATTTGTCATTTTGGTTGTTTTCAATTATAAAAAAGTCAAAATTTTCAAATGCATTTTGGGTGTTATCAAAATAATTTTTCAAAATGACAAAAAGAACATATTTTCAACAATCTCAAAATGGAAACTCAAAATGAATTCAAAACTCAAAATACAAAACTGAAACACAAAGAGAACATTCCCTAAATATTCCATACTATATTTTCACTTTTACCAACAAAAAGAAGTTTTATTTTAAAACTTAGCATAATGCCACATGAAACATCAAATTTGAGTTTGGATGCACAACTCATCATCCTTCGTTTGGCAAACAAATTTATAAATAATTCATAAATTCAGTCAAACATTCATTAACAAATTTCGTGGACCCACCATCATTAAGAAACATTGATCATTAACCATGAAATATATTCTTATTTCAATAGAAAATTAGATTCCAAATATTTGTTACATGTAAATCCTTTTCCATATAATCTAATACTAGGCAGAAATTACCGACCCTGTACAGTTTTCCAGTTTTTCTACAATAAATCAGTACATGAAAACCCCAGTTCATCTAAAAGTTTTTAGAAAACTGCAGTAGCATATATTCAAACCTAGTCTTCATCGTGTCTCTCACGTAGAGACGGGTTTCTTTTCTTAAACCCGCTTTTAACTAATGAAAGCATGACTTGAAAATCTTTTGCTTATTCTCATACCACTTCATCACAGGAAAACCCCCCACATAAGCATAAAATAAATAAATAAATAAAAATAATAGAAAAAATTCGGAATCAATTAATTTTCACACTTATTTTCCATATTCCCACAAAAACATGATAATCAACGAAACGAAAAAAGAAAAAATCAATATTAAAATGCTCAAAACAGGCACCTTTCTTTTCCCTTTTTTTTTTTTTTTTGCAAATATAATTAGAACTATAGTTTATAGAAAATAGAAACAGAATTTTACCTCTGATTGGAAAATTCAGTGTAACAAATTTGAGAGGAAAGCTATGCAAGACAGCGATAAAGCTCGAAGAAGAAACCAGCGATTTCTTTTTTGATGAGAGTCCAGAAAACGCTAGAACGGGTGAGGTTCCACTGTGATTATATAATATAAGTAAACAAAATATGGGCAATTATTCTTGGCCCGCCTCAAAGCCAGGAGGGAGGCGCCACACCCTGCAGGGTTCAACAGATATAAACGTCCTCGATTAATATACACAGTTGATGTGAAGATGAGGTATGGATCAGTGGTTCGATGCGGGTCATACTGTCAAACTGTAGTCTATGCTCAACTGGACTCTCAATTTGGTAACTAATAATTTTTTTAGCAAATTAGAATCTACTTGAAGAGTAAATGCTTGTTTGGATTTTTTTTTTTTTTTTCCCTGAAAATGTGACGTTAAAAAGTTTTTGTTTAAATGGTCTCTTTGATAATGTAGTTTGGGATTTTAGCCTTTGACCACAATTAAATTTTTAAAATAAATATTCTAATTCAACATTAATAAACTACCTAAATTACCCTCCTTTTATATGAGTAAATATTTGTCTTTCCCTTACCCAAATCAATTGAAACCCTTCAACCCTAAATTCATCTCTCGCCTGTCGAAGTTGAAGTCGACAATCCCTTCGTCGGAAACTCTTGAACCGTAAATTCATCTATCGAAGTCGAAGGCGAGAATCCCTTTGTCCGATTACCTTGGGTGTAAGCATTCTTGACTATTAGTTGGGCAGATTTCCATTTGCTGTTGGAAGAGAAAATCGGATTTCTC